TTGGATGAAGTGTGTTTGCTTTTGTTTCTCTAAACCTGAGCCTATGAAGCTAATCATAGATTAGAGAGATATGGATTCACAAAAGCAAAACCCTTTTGTTCGGTATTATTGTCGTTTCACATTTAAATATCCCACAAAACGCTAAAGATACTCCCTTTTTCGCTATTTTTAAAGAAAAACCTTAAAGATTTTAACTTTTATAAAAGAGTTCTATCTGCATATTAATTTTTGTTTTATATATTACATGGACTTGTATATTGCACGTAACCTCATATATATAGATCTATAAAGCGTAAAGTTCGTATATAAAAAATAAAAAGTATAGTTATATTGCTTTTTTTATAGCACTAATAAATTATCGTTTCTTTTTTAAAAATTTCTGTCAATTTTGCAGTTTCCAAACGTGATTGGATTTGTTCTTGGTGCACTTCAAATGATACTTTACGTGGTTTTCAAATATTGCAAAACGTCGTCGGATTTGGTGGAGCAAGAACTCGAAGCAGCTAAATTACCAGAAGTGAGTATTGATATGTTGAAGCTAGGTACACTTGCTTCTCCTGAACCAGCAGGGATCACAGTCGTCCGATCGTTAAACACGTGTCTTTGTGACGATCGAAAGGCTGAAATTGGAAATGGCCAGGGAGTTAGAAACGGCACGCATTTCACTACAACTACATGAGATTTCTTCAAAAAAGAAAAAATCTATTTGACGATCTTACCTATCTTGATATCCCTACCATCCACGTGTCTCGTTTTGTAATTTTCTGTGTTTAATCAAGTGTGTGAAGTTGATGAGTAAATTACTCAGGAATTACATTTTCATGAGTTAATTTTGCTCTTCTTCTTTTAACTATTAGTGTAATTAAGTTATATATGTTGGATATGAATAATCATATTTTCCGATTGAATTGTAATAAATTCTCACCTTACTGTTTCTTATTAGTATAAAAATAAATAAATTATTAACCCATTTAACAAATTTTCAAGCTGTTGCTAAAGGCCTAAAACTGATTTTGATTTAACTATTTCATGACTAATTAATTAGTTTTTTACTATTTATTGTAGAGTTTATTGGCAAATTTATGAAGGGATGAATGTATGCCAATTGTACAATTTTCTTAGGTTTTGTTTTGTTATTTTAAATTATTTTGAAGGAAAAAAGCTACAAAATTGTAAATAGGGTGAATAACCAAAAAAAACAAAATATAATTCAATAACTAAGCAAAATGAATCATGTGGCAAAATCCAAACCATTGGATCTTAAGAAATTATTTAGTTATTGAATTATAATTTTTTTTTGGTTATTAGTGCTAATTTTGCATTGTAAATATTCATGAACTACCACTAAACTATACAATAAATAGTAGAAATACTTGAATGTCGTGAGCAAAAAGAAAGTACAACTATTAAATTAAAATTTATGATAAGATATATATTTATGCATCTACAGTCAAACCTAT